AAACAAGCTCCACCACAAAGTGACCGTTTTAGACGACTATCTGGTGGTGATCCACGTGACTCTAGGCCCAAACCACCATCTCAGACGTCCTATCTACGAGGAAAAAGCGAAAGTGACCTGGGACGAGCGTTACGCAGTGATGACGAGTATGATACSATAGATGTAGAGCTTTTTAAGAARTCACAAGGATACGGATTTAGTATCCGAGGCGGGCGTGAGCTCGGAATGCCTATATTTGTACTRAAAATCGCCGAGGGCGGAGTRGCTGACTTGGACGGWCGAGTAAAGGTGAGAAATTCTTTKTTTCCGCTTATTTTTTAGTAAAAATGGGGCTTGAGCATGCAGTCACTACGGTCAGCAGTCTTTRAACAGTATCAACTGATATTTATTGTACGTTATGATAGGTTGGTGATGAAATCTTATACATCAATAATCGTAGTACAAAAGACCTTCTTCATACAGACGCTATTGACATGATTCGAGGAAACAGCCGCATTAGACTTACATTGAAAAGGAGATTCGGACCTTCTGTGTTTGGTAAGTACAGTCAAAACCCTTTTTAACSGTCGGTCTCTGTTAAACCGGCCATTGTAAAGCGACCATGTTTGATGTAAAATTGGTAGTTTCTAGTTCACGTGATGGCAGCCATGTTTGTGACTCCACYATGGCAGCCGGTCTTTCGTATTTCGTCAGTAGTCTCTAGTAGTCCATTGAAAGGCGCTGATGTTGTACGCAATGACGTCACTTGGGTGTGACACAGGGAACCCGGCCACAAAGTAAAGAAAATGTGTTTATTTCCAGATACTCTTCCTAATGGCGGCCCCAGATACCAATCACGTTCAGAATAYGGACGCACAACATCTTCGTCTTCCTACAATCCTCGACCTTTATCAATCTACTAGAATTCTAAATATTAAAAACAATGGAGGCCTTTCTTGTGAAATGTCAAAAGAATCCGCGATGGACAATTGACATGTCCTTCTCAAACATTAAAGTACAGCCTGGGAACTAACTGCTTATCAAGTTCAAACAGCGACTGTGGTCTTGATAAGAACTAAAGAAAATCACGTGATTATATGAATTTTACTTTTTAATGTTTTATGAACATTTTATATACAAAAAATGGCAAAATCTTAATACGCGATAACATTTTTTTTAAAATGCATTAATATTAATAAGTAGATATGCCAAATATATTTTAGTTTTAATYCATCGAGAGGAGAATCTGCGGAATGGCTTTTCATTTCGAGAATGGAGACGCAGATTTAAGAAMGTCCTCGAGATTTTTACATTCCAGTCGTTTCCATTGCAAAAATTGAACTCYCCATGGAGCTTAGATTAGCTTATTTTCCGTTATCTCGAAGGGGATGATAATTAGCTACGACTTTGATAGCCATGTTGGTTAATGTGGTTTGGAATGAGCTTGAAAAATTAGCTAATACGACTAAATAGGGATATATAGTTTAAAGGAACGAAAGAATTTGTGGAAATTATTACATTGTACTAATTTCTCATGTAATTTGAGTGTGTATTACAAGTTTGACCATTGTTTAATTAAATCCAATTTTATCAAACATGGCATCGATTATGATATCAAATTGGTCGATATTAGTCGAGTTATAAGCCAGTGAATAGAGCACTTTTGTAAATGATAACTGTAAATAAGATAACAGTTTTGTTCATTTAATAAAACTGTTTTCGGTTAACAAGGTTCTCTCAATCGTAGGGACACCATTCCTAAAACAGCCAGCATAATAGATAGATATTGTAGAAGCGAAAACATACCTTAAAGGGYCATTGTTAACCGGCATTAAATGCGGTTGTCTTTCAGATTTGACAATTATGTAAAATGATATGAATTCAGTCATCATTCGCAATCCGTTTCCATCGTTTGRAYTGAAGCCCAAATTTTACAATAYGAACATCCATAGARAATAACAGCTCGAAAGGGATGCCGGTTGATCATGAACCTTTATTTTTCTTTCAATTGCAATATTTACCAAGTAAACATATCCATAGAATCACTTATATATTTGTAATTACTCGAAGTTGTATTTTTAAGTCAGGAGCAGTGCACTGTGAATGTGCTTTTGGTAGGAAGAAATGCAGTCAACTATTTTATAATGTACCAGTCCTCGCGCGATGTGTGCGACACGATGTGTGGGACTGGTGATGAATTTTCAATTC